AATTCATTTGCAGATGATAATCCAGTAGAAAGAATAGATATTTTTTAAAAAAAACGTATTTAAATATTTTTTTTTTAGATCTAGTATTTCGAATAACTTGTAATGCAATTTTTGGTAGTAGTTAACAAATTCTTTGGGAAAAAATGTTTTAAAGTATACTATTGAAGAGCCAAGTTGTAAGTGATCTGAAGCAAACTATAGTAGTTCGAAAATCTAAACCTAACATCTCCATCGACTGAATATTAATAATTTAAACTTTATTTTTATACGACTTCTTTCACAAAACAATCACACATTAATTAATATATGATGACTTTTGTAAAAAAAAAAAAATTAAAAAAAAACTCACGCCTTCTTAACAGTTATGTTGGTTACATACGATTTATAAATTAAAACCAATTTTGAAAACCCATAAAAATCTGTCTCGCCCTTTCTACAGAAAAGCTTTTTTTTTTTTTTTTTTTTTTTCTTTTGTTAAAACTTGGAATTTTTTTTTATTAATGGTTTGTTTTTTGTTTTTTTTTTTTTTTTTTTATATTTTAAAATATTTTTTGTTTTTTTTTATTTTNAAAAAAAACTCACGCCTTCTTAACAGTTATGTTGGTTACATACGATTTATAAATTAAAACCAATTTTGAAAACCCATAAAAATCTGTCTCGCCCTTTCTACAGAAAAGCTTTTTTTTTTTTTTTTCTTTTTGACTTTGGTAAAACTTGGAAATATTTAGAAATAAACGTGTGTTTTTTGGTTTTTCTTTTTTTTATTCAAAATGTAAAACTATTTTAGCATTTCTGTATTTATGATGGATACCTATTTTTGGAAGGAATTCTCTTAAAAATTGTAATAATATTTTGTAGTCAATTCATTATTTTTTATGTAGTTTACCACAAAAATATATTATTTTTAAAACTTAAAAAAAAAATAAAATAAAATAAAAGAAATATATATTGTATAACACACTTAGTCAAGCAGAGACGTCGCTTGAATTTTTCTGGTATCCTGATACTTTTCGGGTTTGTCCTTTCGTACCTTGCAGTAAAAGTTGATAATTTAAAGTAATTACAGCACAACTTTAAGACCCTAAAATATACGAGGCCCCATGCATCTACACGGTTTGCAGACCTCACACGATGGCTCTGAGGTCAAGTGACACAAAAAAATCTTAACTAGCATCTCTCCCGTTGCTCTCCAATTAATTGTATAACGATGCAAAACTAAAGTTAATTATGTACAAAAATGCATTCTTGCATTTTGAATTTATCAAAAATATTTTCTGGGGCCTATAAAGTTTCAGTGTTTATAGATGCACTGACGCAAACATGCAAAAATAGTTTGTAAAGCCCGGCAAATAACTGGGCATTTGGTGGAAGTGGAACTCACCTCTCTCAAGCGTGCTGGGCATTTTGTGGAAGTGGAACTCACCTCTCTCTAACGTGCTGGGCATTTTGTGTAAGTGGAACTCACCTTTCGCGAGCTTGCAGGTGTTGCTCAAAAGAGAGTGACACAATGCCATCTTCTTCGAGGACTGGACTCACATCCTGTAGCGGTAAACTAGGTCACCAGCTGAATGCCTAGCCGTTATTTTGTGCTTGCGTGGATTTAGGCTAACCGCTGACCTCAAGGGGTCTGATAAAGTGGTCCTACTCCCGTCATGGTTCCTCTGACAAAGTGGTCCTACTCCTGTCATGGTTCCTCTGACAAAGTGGTCCTACTCATGTCATGGCTCCCCACAATACTGCTAAGGTTTAACTGGGTTTGTTTTATTTAATGCTAGAGCATAATCTGATTAACAATACTAATACTGAAATTTGTTGCTAACTCCGCCAAGGCCGGTCCCAAGCAAAAGGAGGAGGGTTGGTGAGAGGCCAGCTAGGAGGAGGGTTGGCGTGAGGCCAGCTAGGAGGAGGGTTGGCGAGAGGCCAGCTAGGAGGAGGGTTGACGAGAGGCCAGCTAGGAGGAGGGTTGGCGAGAGGCCAGCTAGGAGGAGGGTTGGCGAGAGGCCAGCTAGGAGGAGGGTTGGAGAGAGGCCAGCTAGGAGGAGGGTTGGAGAGAGGCCAGCTAGGAGGAGGGTTGGCGAGAGGCCAGGTAGGAGGAGGGTTGGCGAGAGGCCAGCTAGGAGGAGGGTTGGCGAGAGGCCAGCTACCTCACCCGTAAAAAATTGCTACAGAAATGTAAACAAGAAAAAAAACAAAAAAAAAAAAAAACAAATTTCAGCCCTGAGAAGAGAGGTCTCTTCTTCTCCAAGAAGAACTATGAAGCCTGTGGCCAAACCCAGGCTATACTGGCCTTTCTAAGGAAACAAACATAGGCACGTGGAACGTCAGAACCCTGTATGAAGCAGGGAAAGCAGCGCAGGTGGCAGCAGAAATGAGATCTTACAGACTTACACTGCTTGGCATCTGTGAAACAAGATGGATACAAGCTGGGAAAATAACTTTGGCCTCTGGAGAAATGCTATTGTACTCGGGGCGTGAGGAGGAAGATGCTCCACACACGCAATGAGCCGCTTTGATGTTGTCAAGGTTGGAACAGGAGGCTTTGATAGGATGGGAAGCCCATGAACCAAGAATAATAACAGCAACCCTCTGAACCAAGAAAAAGAAAATAAAGATGAACATAATACACTTCTATGCACCCACCAAGGATAGCAAAGAAGAAGAGAAAGAAACATTCTACAATAGACTACAAGCAATAATTGAAAAAATTCCCAAATATAGACCTGAACATGTTAATGGGAGACCTTAACGCCAAGATTGGAAAAGACAACAATCGGTATGAGGAAATCATGGGACACCACGGTGTAGGAGAGTAGATTAGAACGGAGAAAGACTTGCAGACTTCTGGGCAACAAATGAGCTTGTTATTGGAGGAAGCGAATTTCAACATAAAAACATCCACAAGATAACATGGGTATCCCCAGACAAAAAAACTCAAAACCAAATAGATCACATTTGTATCAGCAACAAATTTAGAAAGTCTCTACAAGATGTACGAGCAAAAAAAGGAGCAGATGTTGCATCCGATCATCATCTTGTTTGGGCTAGACTTAAGTTAAAGCTGAAGAAAAACTGGGAACAGCCAACTGCTAAGCGAAACAAATTCAATGTAGCACTTTTGGCAAATAAGCAGAAAAGGGAAGAATTTAGTGCTACCTTGAGAAATAAGTTCCAAGCGCTAGAAGATCAAACAGAAGACCAAACAGAAGATGACCAAGTAGAACATATATGGCAAAGTATAAAGACGTCTGTAACACCCACCTGCCAAGAAGTTTTAGGATCAGTGAAGCAGAAACAAAAAGACTGGCTCTCAATAAACACACTGCAAAAAATAAAAGAGAGAAGAGAAATGAAAAATATAGTTAACAGCAGCCGCACCAGGGCGGAGAAAACGAAAGCGCAAGAGAGATATAAAGAAGCAAACCAAAAGGTAAAAAACAGCATTAAAAAAGATAAAAATGCCTACATAGATGGCCTAGCAGCAACAGCAGAAGAAGCAGCCAGGAAGGGCAACTTGAAAGAGCTCTACGACATTACAAGAAAACTGCCAGGGAGATACAAAAGGCCGGAGAGACCTGTCAAAGATAGAGAAGGTAGAGCTATAACAGAAAGGAAAGAGCAAGAAAAAAGATGGATGGAATACTTTAAAGAACTATTAAACAGACCCCTACCCACAGACACACCAGACATACAACAGGCAAATGAAGACCTACAAATAGAAGATGGGGCACCAAATCAGGAAGAAATAGCTCTGGCCATCAAGCAGCTCAAATTAAAATTTGGGAAATCACCGGGACCGGACAACATCGCAGCAGAGATGATGAGAGCATGGGCGCCCGCAGGAAACTTTCTAGGGGGGGGGGGCAAAAAAAAATTCAGATGGGGCAAAACTTTTGAGTAATGTTTTAATATAGTTGTAATTTACTGTAGTGTATTTGTATGGTGAAAGAGAGGATAGGACATCAGCTTAGTTGCTTTCTCTTTATTTTCTCTTTACTTTAATAATTTTTTTGTCTATTTTTGTCTAAAATTTTTTTATCCAATCAAGCAAGTGCTCCACCTTGCCCCTACCTGCGGGCGCCCATGGATGAGAGCTGACATAAATACCATAGTCAACATGCTGCACCCTCTGTTTGAAAAGATATGGGAAGAAGAGAGAGTTCCAAAAGATTAGAGAGAAGTACCTCATCAAGATCCCAAAGAAAGGGGATCTCAGCAATTGTACAAATTACAGAGCAATATAGGTATATGCCTATCAAATATAGATATATATTCGATGCGTACATTTTCTGTGTTGGAAATCTCCACTTAAAGGTAAACATGTTTAAAAAAATTAATTTAAAAAAAAACAAAAAACAAACTTAGGCTAAAATTATATAAAAACCGGTTGCTGTTTCGTTACATCGGGTTTCCCCGTTTATAGCACACGTCAATCATGTACAAAGTTTAACCAGAGGTAGCCAGTGGACTAGCCAGACCTTTACACTGATTTTTGCCCGGGGTGTATGTAAACAATTGTTGACATAATTGATTAGGCGGGTCCGTGAAAGGTGGGGGGGGGGGGGGGGGGGGGGGGGGGGGGTAAAAAAATTTCCCAAAGTCAAAGTCTGGCAAAATCAACGCCTAAGCCTAAAACACTAAAACTAACTAAAAGTAAAAGTAAAAGTACTAAAAATTGTTGACGATTAAAAATGGACTAAATAAATCCTTTTCTCTGTTTCTTTGCATTTTTTGCTTTGGTTGTCCGGTTTATTAAGCACCACGGTATAATTAAAAATTTAAATACGTGTATGAGCTTTGCATAGCTTTGAAACCAAGTACGAAGATAAGAAGATAACATTGTTTAGGCCTATGTCGAGGTGAAATTGTCACGTGATCCGAGTTTATTATGGCGTGTAATGAAACCGTCGTACGGCTTGCGGAAATTCCCAGTTTCTTGGAAAGTAGCCGTTCATTGCGATTCGTCAGAATGAAAAAAGTCCAAGATTACTTGCACTTGTAGGCTATTGACTATTGTATGTGGCTAACAAGAATAATAAGGTGAACGAAGGCCTAACACCAAGAACTTAGTGTCAGAACGTTACCCGTGCGGGTGTCCACTCAGTTCAGAAGTTCAGATTTTATTACGGACATTCATTTGACAAAAATGATTTGGACAAAAAATTAGACATAAATAAAGTAATAAAGTGATCTGCCTTTGCCTTCTGCAGTCCGTATATATTACTGCTAATTAATAAAGTCAAGTACTTACAAAAACAGTAGGCCTACTGCTGTGAATGTGAAATGTGTGTCACTAACTTTCATTAACTTTTCATTAAGTCTAAGTTGACTTAGTTAGTCAACTTAGACTTATGACTAAGTAAAATGATAAAGTGAGACTAATAATAATAATAAATAGTATGTGATTCGTGATTGCCTTTTCAAAGCTTTTCCTTTTTACTTTTAAAAAAAATTAAACTTTATTAAAGTAAGAAGTAATGACTTTATTATTTTTTCCAGCCATTGATTGATTGAACTTTGATTTTGATAAAAAGTTAAATGAAAAATTTGCATGTTTGAAGTTAAGTGAGGAATAAATTTAAGTTAAACTTTAAATGATTTAGAATTTAGAGCAGGGTGGCCAACCCAAATATAAAACTTTTATTATTAAAAGTAAAAGGCTTCACGGGCCACTTTAATTATTTTAATAGCAAATAAACATTTCGTTAACTGTAACTGGATGTCAATGACAATGTCATTACACCTTATTAATTATAGTGCTAACTTATAATAAATATATTATAAATAATTAAAATAAACTTCCACTAATTGCTGTAATTTGTTAAGAACGAAGACGTTTCTTTAGGATAAAAATAAAACAGGGATTACTGTGCTGCACAATAATATTTGATGTGATACTAATGACCATGAGAATGTCTGTTCAGCTTAGAGGGTGTTAGTATTAATATTAAAAACTGTAACCTATGAATATGTAACTAATGTCTAATGTGGCTTAGTATATAGTCTATACTACAGTTATCAAATGAAAACGTAAAATATAATGCATTTATTTTTCATTTCCTCCTAGCTTTTTCATATGAAGACTAACAGACAAGAGATACACTGAAGACAGTTCAATTAAATCTGTTTAAAAATGTCTTTTGAGGGGTGAGTATGACTTTTAAAAATATTTGTTTCTTGTCTCCCCCTTGGGATTAAAAACATTTCAGGTAATTTTACTTTTTTACCTAAGATTTCAACACTCTAAATTATTAATATAATAAATAAAAATGGTTTGATGGAAACTTTTGGTCAGTTCATTCTGATTAAAGATTTTAATATTAGAAATAAATGTTGTTGTACTTGTACTGGCTATCATTTATTCAGAGTTCTTTCAAAAAAATCTAAACTAAAAATACCATAAATAAATGTTTATCCTCAGGTTATAACAGAACAATTTCAATAAAAACTGGAAATAAAAATAATTTATTAATTGATCATGTTTTTTAATTTGTCCTAGATTTAAAGCAAGGCATTCTACAGTTGCTCCATCTAGAGTAGAAAGAGAAAATCGAGGATTCACAGATGATCAACGGTATCATAGCATAATTTCTTTTTACAGCTAAATTAAAAAAACATTTCGTTATAAATTGGCATCTGATTAAAATCAAAGACAGGGTATTTCAGATACCTCAAAGTTTATATTTAAATTATAAAAAAGCTTGCCTGATTACTTTATTTGAGCTCAGTCAAATAACAACATGATTTTAAAATGTTTTCTGCTTGTAAATGTTGTTATTGAAGCTATAAATGTTGTGGTGATAGTTGCAAGTTTATGAATATGCCTATTAGGTTGGATATACTTTTAAACCACCTTGCATCCTTATAAAGTGCATCATTTAGGGATCAGAGGGAGCACCTGTTATCCAATGACTCTCAAAGATGGCGACTTTTAGAAAATAATTATTTTTCAAGTTCTAGTAAACATTTTAAAACCCGAATAGGAGCCTAATTTTTTAAAAGGATTTAAAGGCTTCAGTCGCCAAATACTGTCTTGCAAGATAATTCTATAATTACCTAGATTTCATTAATATAAAATTATAATGTAAGGTTTTATTGATCCACTTAATCAGAAATATAAAGTAATTTTATGAATGGTTAGAGTTACTGCACCCACATAAATGAGATAAATGTTTAAAACTCTTTCAGTGGTAGATTACCCGAGGAAAGGTTTGGTGAAAGAAGTAGAGGAAGAGGTGGAGCAAGGGGAGCAATGGACCACAGAAGAGGAGGAGGATTTCGTGGAAGCCTTGAGAGAAGATATAGAGAAGACGATGAAGGAAACAGGAATGACAGCGGAGCTAGAAGAAGTAACAGAGAAGGTGGGGAGCGTATGGTTAGACCCATGACATACGGGAGGCTGAAGACATGGGCGGAGACTGCAGATGCCGGGCAGCTGATCCTCTTTATGGCAACTGAACGCAAACAGGTAGAGAATTTTCTCAATGAGGAGAGGATCAAAGAAGACTGGTGCACGCTGTTTGTTAAAGCAGTTGCCCACGGCATTACGGCGCAGCACCAGAAGGAGTCCATTAAACAAGTCCTGGATGTCATCTGCCAGAGTCGTTTCCTGGATCAACATTTGATTATGTATGTCACTGATAAAGAAATAAGTGGGTCATACTGGCAAGATGCCCTCAAATTTTTTACATCAATGGTCAGTATATTGAAAGAAGTGCTGGACAAGCTTCCAAAATATGCTTTTAAGTGTACGATGGCGAGCTCACACCTTCTAAACACGGCAATTGCCATTGATAACATTAGTCAAAATCAGACATTGCTAGACTCTATAAAAGAACTATTAATAAAAACAAAAGCAGTCCGTAAGACAGAAATAGAGAAAGAATCTGTTAAAAAGGCTGGAAAATTTATGGAAGGAGGCAAAAATGACAAGCCACCAGATAATTTTCTAGAGCTGTCCATTGTTCCAACAGCCCATGATCTGAAAGCAGACGCAAATCCATTCGTCAGATGTGCAGTCACAGATGGGGCTTATGATGATGCCCAACATTATCTGGACATTCAGTTCCGTCTCATGAGGCAGGATTTTATCTTCCCCTTGAGGCAAGGTATAAATGAGTTCAGAGCTGCCGGGTGCAAAAAAAATTTCAACTGTTCTGATTTGAGGTTATACTTTGATGTTCACATCGTAGGTACGGTGTTTAAAGATGGCATTGATCACATTCTACAATTTGATGTCTCAAAATTAGCTTCTGTCAAATGGGAATTCTCAAAACGTTTGATTTTCGGATCCCTCTTGTGTTTATCAAAAGACAACTTTGAGACAGTAATTTTTGCAACAGTGGCTCACCGCGAGGTTGGTCAGCTGGCCAAAGGAAATATCACAGTAAATGTGAAAAGTGGTTTGGACCTAGTGTTCAACTCAACATCAAATGATGTTTATGTCATGGCAGAGACGACAGCTTACTTTGAGTCCTATTGTCATGTCCTAGAAGGTCTTCAGGAGATGATTGATAATCTTCCTTTGCAAGATTATATCATTAAATGTAAAAAGGAGTTGAAACCTCCAAAATACCTTCTCCCATCAGGCGGCATCATGAGACTGCCTGTTTATAACTTATCGTGTTTAATGCTTCATGAAGATTTTCATGAATACCCGGTACTAACCACTGTAAAATGGCCCCAGCCTGAGTTAATGCGTCTGAATCGATCCCAGAGAGAGGCTGCTATGTTAGCACTGACCAAAGAACTTGCTGTCATACAAGGACCCCCTGGAACGGGAAAGACATATGTCGGCCTGAAAGTCATGCAGGTTCTGTTAGAAAACAAAAGTGTTATGGCCGGCAATGAAGAAAATGCAGATGACCCAATTCTTGTTGTCTGTTACACAAACCATGCCTTGGACCAGTTTCTGGAGGGAATTTTAAGTTTTTGCTCCGATGGAATAGTTCGAGTTGGTGGAAAAAACAAGAGTGAAAAGCTAGAGAAATTTAATATAAAAAATCTCAGACAAAGATTAAGGGTGGAAAAAAAATTCTCTGATCTTTCTGTTAGAAACTCAAAATATGAATGTAACAGAGAGCTAGAGGCTGTGTCAGATAAGATAAGTATTCTGAACAAGACGATGGAGTTGGTTGAGACCGTGATTCAGACGGAAGACGTCTTGAAGAAGGTCATGGGTGGAGATCATTATGAGTCCCTTTGTGACGGCGCCCCTAACATGGAATCTGGCAAGCAGAAAATGAGGCTTTGGCTCAATGCTTCCAATGATACGCCGCAGACTGTGCTTCCCGGGATGATAAAAAATCACCTGACCAAACTTGTTTTGAAATGGCCTGAGCCGGCGACGGCCATGGGACTGATGGAAAACATGAACATTGTGCAGAGAGCAAACCTTTATCAGAAATGGTTGTCAAACATCAGGGATCTGCTTCACCAAAATATGGCATTTCTGACAAACCAGGGTGGGTTTTCACAGGTTCACCAAATGAACGGACAGATGGGAGAAATCACTAGTATTATGAACGCTTCCTATGAAAGAATTCTCTCAGATTTTGAAATGCAAATGATTCTTCCTGAACCAGTTTTTAGAGACATTAATGGTTATATTAGAACAGGCACAAAAAGAAGTCATGCTCCCTTGGGATCTGTAGTGGAGACATGGCTTCTGGGACTGAACAAAAGTCTTCACGATCAGCTGGACGATATTCAAGTCCTGACCAACATCTTGGCCGGTGTGGATGTGAAAGAGGAAATATTCGATGATGCTGAAGCTTCAAAACAAGAACAGGATGCAAGAATAATTGATGATGATGAAGACGACGGAGGGGTAAATTACAGCTCGAAAGTAAAAGCTGCAAGAGACAATAATTTTGTTTCCATCATACAGCGGGCAGAGATGCTTGGGATTCAGGAGGACATTCAAGAAGAGGTAAATGAAGGAGGGTGGACAGTAAAAGGCAGAAGACCATTAAGTTTTGGTAGAATTCGAAACAAGCTCATTTCAATTTCTCCGATGAGTGAAGAGGAGGAGAATGATGTCGTGGATTTGTGGACACTGGATTTGAATAAAAAGTTTGCCTTGTATAATCGGTGGATTACAAAATACAAAGTGAGTCTTACAGAAGAAATGGAAAAGTTAGTGGAGCAGTACAAGTCTGCCTATGATCGCAAAACAGAAGCAAATAGAGAAGAAACACTGGCATTGCTGAAGTCAGCCAAAGTCATCGGTATGACAACCACTGGGGCAGCCAAACACAGGGCCGTACTCCAGGCTCTGGGCTGTAGGATCATTGTGGTGGAGGAAGCTGCAGAAGTTCTGGAGTCTCACATCGTGACGGCCCTCAACAAGAAATGTAACCACCTAATATTGATTGGCGACCACCAACAGTTGCGTCCTAACCCAGCCGTCTATGAATTAGCTACAAAATATGGCCTGGAGATATCTCTGTTCGAGAGATTTATTAAAAATGATGTGCCACATGTGCTGCTTCAAGAACAGCACCGAATGCGACCAGAGATTTCAAAGATAATGAGGCACATCTATAGTAAACTTGAGGATCATTCTTCTGTGTTTAAGTATGATCATATTCGTGGAGTTGGCAAAGATGTTTTTTTCATCAACCATACAGAGAAAGAAGAAAAAGTTGACGATACAAGGAGCAAAGCCAACATACATGAAGCCAAGTTTTTGATTGCACTCTATAAATATCTTCTGTGTCAAGGATACGAAGCCAGCCAGATAACGATCTTAGCAACTTACGCTGGTCAAGTGTTTGCCATTAAGAAAATCCTCAGAGAGCAAAAGGGAGAAGATATTGGTAAAGACTTTCAACAGGTACGTGTAACAGCAGTTGACAATTTCCAAGGAGAAGAGAATGACATAATTCTTCTCTCCCTTGTCAGAAGTAATGAACAGAATAATGTGGGCTTTTTGAAAGTGGACAACAGAGTTTGTGTGGCATTGTCCAGAGCAAAGAAAGGGCTTTTTGTCATAGGCAACTTTAATGTACTGCGCACTCAAAGCAAGCTATGGGAAAAAATAATTCAAACAGCAGATAATGATAAAATATTTGGAGATGGTCTGGAAGTTGTTTGTCAGAACCACCCAAATAACAAACAACTTATGCTCTTTGATACTGATTTTGACAAATGTCCTTATGGAGGCTGTGGTCAAGCCTGCGGTTACCGACTTGAGTGTGGCCATGTCTGTGCAAGACTCTGCCATGGTTATGATGTTGAACACAAGGATTACAAGTGCAAAAAGCCATGTGCCAAACTCTGTACCTCGGGTCACAAGTGTTCTCGCCTGTGCTTTCAGGACTGTGGTGATTGCATTGTGAAAGTTCCAAAAATTATTCCCATTTGTTACCATGAAGACCAGGTGCCCTGCCATCTGACTCCCATCAAAGCTGTGTGCTCGAAACCCTGCTCCGCTGTCCTGGACTGTGAGCACCAGTGCTCCGGCTCTTGTGGCCAGTGTAGGAAAGATGCAAAGCATAAAAAGTGCTTGATGAAAATACAGTACTGTTGGCCTTGTGGACATGTGGGCTCAATTGAATGTTATTTGAAATCTTCACATGTGGAGTGTCAGAAGGTGTGTGGCTCTGTCTTAGGCTGTGGACACCCTTGTAAAGGTAAATGTTCCAACTGCCTGGAAGGAGCAGTTCACGTGGCTTGTGAAGAGCCCTGCGGCAAGTCTCTACCCTGTGGACACAAGTGTAAAGGGTTCTGTGGAGCTCCTTGTTTACCTTGCTCAGAAACTTGTCCAGTAGAGTGTGAACATGGATCTTGTAACACACCCAACTCTGTTAAACTCTGCAGCCACTCCTGTCCTCCTTGCCTTGAGCCGTGCACACATAAATGCCTCCATGTTGACTGCCCAAAACCTTGCTCGGAAATGTGTGATTCTGAACCATGTTCAATGAAATGTAAACGAAAAGTTCACATTTGCTCAGAAAAATGCGGTGGTAAAAAAAAATGTTACTTAAAATTACAAAATTGCAACCACATCTGTGCTGGGATTTGTGGTGAGCTGTGCGTGTGTGCATCCTGTGAACAAATCTACACCATCAGCAAGAATAATAAATCCGACCCTACGAAAGGGGAAGCTGCATCAAGTACGTTATCAGATGCCCAAGATTTACAGCTAAACCCAAAAACCAACACAAAAGGATTAATTATCAAAATTCCCTCATGTTCCCATATTTTTTATGTCAATGAGTTGGATGAGTACCTACAAAACTTTGATGCCAAGGGCTCAAGTTTTCTCCCCTGTCCTGCCTGCTCAAAACCTATCATGAAATGTAAGAGATACGACAACTTAAATAAGGCAAGAAGTCAAAGAAGGGAATATCTTAAAGCAAAATTAAGAAAACAGAATGAAATCACCAAACTAGATTTCAGTAAATTATTAATGTCACAGAGGAAAATTGAAGATCCTCAGTTGACAGGTTTCAAATATTTGGAAGTGGATAAGGTTAAGAATGAATCAGAAAAAGAAGCCATATCTTTTCAATTGAAATGTGCTTTTGTCTTGGGTGATATATTTTCACTTGAAAAGGACATGGATTCATTAAAAATGTTGAACTTCAGAAAAAATGCTGTTCTGAAGATCTCAAAACGAGTTACACAACAACAGAAGCGTGAGTTCACCACAGAGCTGCTCCGGTGTTTAGAGTTAGCTTACATGACACAGCTCAACACTCTGGTCACTTTGCATGATATCGAAATTCCAACTAATCTCAAATCACAAGTGAAGGAAAGCTTGGATGCTCTGGGTGTGCTTAAACCTAACTCAGATGACCAAGAGCGGGCACATTTTGTCATTGTATCAGTTAGGAGGCTGGTCAAGGACCATGTTAACGCTGCAACTGTCCAGGCTCAATGTCAGCTGATGGAGGAAGCCTATGAAAGGTCAAGGAAGGTGCTCCTGTCAAAGGATGAAGAGGTAGGATTACAAGCTGATTACTGAAGAAATAATTGTAATTTATGGCCGCCAAGACTTAATTGCTAACTAATATTCTGAGTAAATGTCTAAGTAAAAATGAAATGACTAATTATTAACATTTAAGGTCATGGCATTTAGAATGTGTGTGTGCATCTTTTGACATCAGTTTCATCATTCTGTTTTATTTTTCCTAGATGCTGTGTGAAATAATTAAAACTGAAGCAACAGTCAAGGCATCTTATGTTTCTGCTAGGACTGATGCACAGAGAAGCTTCACTCTCACTTCTGCCATTAGGACTGATGCACAGAAAAGCTTGGCTCTCACGTCTGCCATTAAGACTGATGCATCGAGAAGCTTGGCTCTAACTTCTGCCAGTAGGACTGATGCACAGAGAAGATTGGCTCTAACTTCTGCCATAGCAAGACAAAGGTAAAGCAGATTAACTGTTTGCAACCTCATAATGCTGTACTTAATATTCTAACTGCATTTAAAATATAATATCTTCTCTGGGCATGTTCTTAGGAAAACGATTTGGTGAGGAAGATTGTATACCAATATGTTAAGAAATTAAAATGTTATAATTTTTTCATAACTCATGTAACACAGCAAATAATATTTATTAGTGTCATATTTCCAGATGATGATCTATTTAATATTCAGCAGTTTACATTTCTATGGAATCAATCAGGTTAAATAGCCAACACACCACTCAGTCATTTTTCTTTCATGTACCTGTAATAACTTGAATTACTCTATTGTTTTAAATATTATATTTTTATCATATTGAATTATATATTTAGGTACAGATTGAACTGTTATGATGTTTTGGAAACTATAAGGAATTCTTTGCCTTTTCTTCTCTATATCGTTTACAGATCAGATGTAGCCAAGAGAGTAAGCAATGATTTTCCTTTATGGGTCGACTCTTCTTCAGATTCTGACTAGACAACAAAATTTTTTTAAATGAGTGAACCACACATTTGGTGCACACTTTTTAGATATTAACCATTAATTTAGAGAGAAAAGTAAATCTTTATGCATATTTTAGCTGTTCAATTTAATTTTGTGTAAACTGCTAAGTTGGCTGACACATTAAATTGTGATTTGAAATAAATTTACTTTGGTGTATGCTTTTGATTTAAATGTCATTCATTTCTAAGATCTCAAGTAAGATCATCATTGCATTTCATTTGAACAGCAAAGATTATATATCATTCATAATGTTTTCAATATATTATTATTTTGTGCTACAATTTCAACTGGTGTTGTCCAGGTTCTACAGGGGTGGCTCAAGAATTTAATGTAGAAATCTAAAACTTGAAGTGAAATAGGTGAATTTGTGGGAATTTTACCTAAAATTTCATGAAAACAAAGTAATGTACGGTACAACAAAATTTCCTCATCAGAACTCACATATTAATTTATTTTCAACATTTCTATTTTGTTAGTGGCAGATTGTAATAACTAATTCTAAGAAGCCATGAGATTAACAAAGTTGCAACCAGCAATTTACTGGATTACATTTTTGTTTATTTAAATTACATTTAAACTCAAAATATTTGAGCTACGATGCCATTGGACATTTATTGTATAATGTTGATCAGTGGCATAACAAAATGTTATTAAAACAAAATATTTATATTTGTTCCTCAATAATACAATTAAATGCTAGAAAGTCCTTGCACCCAATATAATTTGAATGAGAGTCTTTTATATGTATGATTAAGTTCATCTTTTTTAATTATGACTTGTTGTATGATTCCTTTTAAACTTGTTTGTTGTGATTAATTGTTAAACTGTAATTCTTATTTTATAAGATAGAGCATCAACATGTTAAATCTTCATTTAAATTATGTCTAGCCTTTTTTTTTTAATTACCCTTTTGGCACTTTATAATAGTTCAAAAGCTCTGTCTGATTTTGTCATTTATTTGTTTATTTGTTATATTGTAAGTTATTGTTATTTGTGGAAACTTCTTTTATGTATAACATTACTTTGTATAGAAGAGAGTCTCAAATTTTTGAAGACATGAGGGCTGAAGACTGCAGATTTACAGGCATGCCCTGTATTTGTTTTGTTGTTTTTAAATGTTTCCTCATTAAAGATAACACTAGTTAAATATAATGTTCACTTACAACACGCATACAATATACATACATTTGCAAAATAAAAGCCAAACACAACTCAAAATGTTAAATAATCTTTTTAATTTATTTCCATTCTTGGCCACTTCGTTATCAACATTTTATGGTGGAACGAAATGGTGAAGTTTTTGTCACTGTAATTGCTCTCTATATTTTTTCTGTAACATCTGTTAATTCTGTGTTTAAATTTCTTGACCCAATAACAAAACTAATTATTCTGCAGGCAGGAGTTGTGAATTTTGTCGTAAGGCTTAAATATTAGTTACATTTTTTTTAAAAATTGTTGTTTTTCTAATAATCAAACTGAGATCTTTAAACTATTAAATTTGAATTTGTGTTGCACAAATTAAAAGGTGGCAGTGAGGCCCCAAATGGCGTGGGATGTCTCAGATAAGACAATCATTTTTTTATGATAATTATTTAATACTGGAACAGTTTCTTATATTTTATTTAATGTTTCATTTTGTTTCTTGTAGTTAGTTAATAAGTTAAGGATTACAGATTATTCAAAATATCAACGTAATAATTTAAATGAAACGTTACATGACGTAGGCCAAGCTATCCTATCACTAACAAAATTTTACAAGTTATAAAATTATTATTTTAAAAAATGAGTGCCTATTTCAAATTATATTTATTATTTATTCTGGCTTAATTATATTCTAAATATTTATTTAACCATTTCTTGCCCTGTGAAATAAAGTTGATTCGAATTCAGTTTCAGTTATTTGTGTCTGATTGTCAATCTTAAGTTGTATGGATTATTATTTGCGTTTTAAGTTTATTCGTCTTTGTTAGACAATCGTATAAATAGCATAATGCTCCTTCACCCTTAATTTAAAAAAAAACCAAAAAAAAAAAAAAAAAAACCCAAAAAAAAAAAAAAAAAAAAAAAAAAAACCCCACAAAACAATGAAATAAACGTGGCTATAACAATATTGTGTCTCTTCAGATAGAGCATGAACTTGTTAAAAATAGAGGCCCCCATATCGTCCCGTAATCCATTTGGGAAGTACATTGACGTGAGAAGGTCGAGGTTGGCGTTGCTAACGTGACTCCCACAAGCACCCCCCCCCCCCACACTCATACACAAAATTGATAAGTGACATAAATTAAATTCGAAAGTACCACCCTAATCTCTCCACTGGGCTTCGAACACAACCTACTAGTACTCGGTGGAACTGCATTCAACAGTTTTATAGTGGCATAATTATAGCCCCGAAGTCCAGTGGGTTCACATATCGAATAAAAGACTAAGGGTTTCACTGTCACTCTCTAAACCAGCAGCAATAAGTTCTTTAGACATATCGAGTAATAAAGGGGCTTTTTTTTTCGCAAATTACGTCACGCAAAAAAAAATAAAAATTCAGACCCCCCTGTCACAAATTCTTTAACCCCCCTCCCCCCCCGGGTCACGTCACACCTAAAAAAATTCAAAACATAAGTACAATTTTCATAAATAAAATGAAAATTTAGATTATTCTTTAAAATTTCCCCATAATGGAATAAGATGTAGTATTATTAGAAAACTGTGACCTAAAACGAAAAAAAAAAAGTTTATGTAAAGATAAATAGTATTTCTCTGTCAATGTGACAAATGATCAGACCTGAGAAGGGAAACGATGGGCTTAGGTACAGTAGGGCCCTTCTAAAGTACAATGACAATAGATGACGGAGTAATTAACCTGACATCGGCAGGTTTATGGTAGTACAGAGAAGACAAGATAGCTTGGGGGGCAGGGAAACACCCGGTGGAGTATTATCACGAATAAGTTCACGGCACCGGGCCTAGCTCACGGCACTGGGCAGGCGAGCCAAGTTTTTTTTAACTAACCCCCCCCCCTCTTTTTTTTTTCTTCCAAGAAGCAGCTCGCATGCACTGTTTCATTGATGCTCTCTCCCCCCCCCCCGTCCCCCCTGCTTCCATGTAGGCTACAGCACAGAGCACTTCAAGTGCAGGTGGACTAAAATTACATTAATTACAAGATGACAATTGTTTCAAATAACTTAGAAAATCTGTCGTAAACAGATAGGGTACGCCGTTCGGGGGCCTCATAGTTAGGACTGTACTGTACTGTTGTCAGTGTTGTAGTTAGTAATAAGCACATGCTATCTTTCTTAGTTTATATTATTGTTTTCAAACTACAATTCACACGTCACACATAAAAGCATTTAAGGAGCAGTGAACCCGTTTCCTGATTAAGAAGTTTGAGGACCCCTGGTATAGGTAATTCAAAAATATCTACACCTAAATCGATCGAATTACGGTTCAGAATGATGACACCGATTCTAATAATGAAACTGGGAAAGTTTCCAGGAAATGACACGAATGGCACAGCCCTGCGTATTCCTGGAATTAAGGCTGCGTTGCAAACACTAACAGTAGGCTACATGATACATGCATGCGCGTAGCCCAGTAATTAAAGTTTTTATTTAATGCCCACCCATGCGTAATACTATATCTATTTAAGGTAATCCCTTATTTTAGGGATTAGGCCTACCATATTTATATAATAAAATAAAGTTATTGTAGAGTAAGAGTAGTATGTGTAGGCCTACTGTACTGTAGTATTAGTAGAGTATACTCAGTATAGTCTAGTACTTACTAGTGTGTACTTTTTCAAACTTTTTGGCATTGACATTTAGTTGATTTAGTGTTAGTGTTAGTAGAGAAGTGGTTAGTAAGTGATAAAATGTGTAACGTAAAGAATAAAGGGTAGGGCTCAATAGTTTTTTTTTTTTTTTTTTAAATTATTTATATTTATTATTGTCTAAATTTATCAATAACAATAACAATGAAAATGTATTAAATTAATCCAACTTTAAGGTGTCAGTCAGTCATGTCATTGATGGCAATATGTCAATAGTATAGGCCTATTCAATATAAATTTTAATGTTCATGTATAGGGCTCAATAGTTTTTTTTTTTTTTTTTTAAATTATTTATATTTATTATTGTCTAAATTTATCAATAACAATAACAATGAACATGTATTAAATTAATCCAACTTTAAGGTGTCAGTCAGTCATGTCATTGATGGCAATATGTCAATAGTATAGGCCTATTCAATATAAATTTTAATGTTCATGTCATAGCCTGACAATGAGAATGTCTGTGGTGTGGTGTTTGAGTGCATGATGATTATGGCCATAGTTTTTATGGACTAGCACATTTCAATCACAAGTGAGTAGTGTCTACTTGTTTTAGTTTATATTATATATTATTTGTGCGATAGTAAGGACTATACTATAGAAGTAGTCTATCTGTAGATAGGGTTTGGAGCCAGGAGATTAGATTTAATTTGTATGCCGCCCTTCAACTCTGGAACTCTTTATTATTATTATTCACCAAGCCAATAACATTAAAATGCCACCAAAGCCCACTTAATAGTCTGGCACCCCAACATTTCTGTCCCCACCACCACACCCTCGCTACACCAAGGTCAAATAAAATGGTTTAAGTTTAGTCTTTTAGTACTACTACTACTACTAGCCTAGTACACTAGACAACTTTCTAGTAAAACTCTATAGTCCATAGTCTATACTAAAGGGATTAGACAGAGTAGTAGTACACTCAGTCATCGTGTAATATCCATTTAGCAAATTTAATTATTTTTATAATTATTATATTATTAATTATTATGATGAAATATTTATAATTATTAAGATTTGTTAAAGGGTAGGGTATACAATAAATTGTACGGTTGATTGACAAGTGGTAGGCCTATTTACTGTTACTATTAGTCCAAGTCCTAAATTTTTCATTTACAAATTAATTTTTTTTGTAATAATTCAAATTAATCTTTCAGAACCATTTTTTCCTAATGAATCAAAGGGAAATGTGATATAAAGAAATACAAGTTTTAGAAGTTTTTAAAAAGAATGGCATATTTCACACGCTCCAAGTCAAGCGAGGTAAAAAGATATTCTATAACAAATTAAAAAAAAAAAATCTCTACTCTACATTTTTCTTAGCATTTTTATATTTGAAGTTTCTTGTCTAAGGCTTGCTATAACACATTCAAATTTCCCGGAACATTTCAAATCATTGTTTAACTGTGAGTACACATTGTAAAAATTTCTCCCACTCTTCCCGTTTGTATAATTATTCATTGACAATAAAACCCAACAGAATTTTTGAATCTGATGACTGATGCAGTTTAAAAAGATTATTCTCAAGAGATTATCCCTATAGTTTATCACAATCATGTGACAAGCATGAAATAAATGTGTTGATTAGAGTTATAAGTTAGCATATAGTTTCATAGATTCAGTGTTAGAATATGTAAGCATATAATTTCATAAATATATTCAATGCTAGAATGATATGTTAGCAGAGATTTAGTGTTTGAATTCTATGTTAGCATAGATTTAGAATGATATGTTATCATATAATTTCATAGATTCACTGTTAGATTTTAGTGGTAGCATATTATAGTTTCATAGATTCAGATTGTCCACTAGTTGTGATTTCATCATATATGAATGTATACTTTATAAAAAATTAGGAACCCTATTTTCAAGTTATATTGATATAAGGTAACATAGATGTTAATTTCACTTGTTTTTTTTCTACCTTTTGGTTTTGAGAGACCTAAAAACTTCCAAGAATCTTAAAGCATCTTAGAGGACGGCAGCTCATCCATGTTTCCTCAAGGCAACATTCAGTCATGAGCAGAAATCAAAGAGGTGCAACTAGGTATGAATGTTATCTTCTTTTGGGGCTGGGGTTATCCTTGCATGTCATACCAATCCTCTTGATTTCAAATCTGGGTTTAATTGATATCATGCAATTTTCTCCCCCACTCCCCTGAGATTTTAGTCCTTATTTCTTTTTTTAAGACTTTTTCTCTACTTGCATTTCCATCTTGTGGGTGTGTTGATGGAGCGTTATTATTTTTATTTACACATGGGACATTTTAAGATTTCTCATTCAGTGTTCACCTGGTGAATGGCTAAATAAGAGAGGGGGGTTGACACTGTCGCTCAAATTATCTTGGTTAACTGTGTCTGCTTCATTGAGTGAGTGGATGAGCTCAAATCTACTTTTTAGTTTTATGCATTGGTAAAGCATTAAGTAACTTTAACAGAGATTTTGTGAGCATTTGATGTTTAAAAAAGTAAATAATTAATTCTACTTTTGTCAATAATTTAAAGATTACAATTTTAATACTAAGAAGTAGAAAATAAAAAAAAACCTCTAAAAAAAGACTTTGTCATAAAAACTAGTCGAGTTAAAAAAACCACTTGAATGATTCAAAATTTCTTAAAATGCATCCCGCAAGGAAAGTCTACTTTTCTACTTTTTAATATTAAAATTGTAATCTTTAAATTATCGACATTGTGCTCTGTATTCTTATTTTTATTTGTAATATATAAGTTACGATCCATGTTTTTTAAATTATATAAGTTACTTAGAGCAGTTTTTATTTAATAATTTTAGTTATCTTATGCTGTCTTAGCATTCGCACAACATGTCCTGCTCATGCTGTCTTAGCATTCGCACAACATGTCCTGCTCATCCAGCTGGTCCTCTTTGTTATACACCTGTGGATGCCGATAAAGCTGTTGTAGGACTTGTTGATCAGAGACTCTGTCCTGTCACCAAATGCTGGAGATGCTGATAAAGCTGTTGTCGGACTTCTTGATCAGAGACTCTGTCCAGCCACCATATCCTGGAGATGCTGATAAAGCCAGCCTGTTGTAGGACTTCTTGATCAGAGACTCTGTCCAGCCACCATATGCTGGAGATGCTGATAAAGCTGTTGTCGGACTTCTTGATCAGAGACTCTGTCCTGCCACCATATGCTGGAGATGGTTTAGTTGTCTAGCATGCCTGCTGTACACTGTCCATGTCTCGCTGGCATATAGAAAATTGCCCTATATCATCTATATGTTGGATTAGATAAGCAGATAAGTTAAATCAGTTTTACATTATTAGATTTAGTTCTCTAAGATAATTTTTAGAAAAATTTGTTTTTTTCCTTTCCTCAGGTCATCCTCATCAGTCCACCACCAGGGAACAAGAATTCGAGAAGAATCTCACAACAATCCTAGTTTTCAAAACAGAGAATGGCAAGAAAATGGGGTGCAGAGGCAATATATGAGAGGGTCTGGGGGTCCTGGCAGGAGGAGAGGGTCTGGGGCTCCTAGAACTGGAAGAGGGAATGGATTCACGGGTTACATTGATAGAAATGAGAGGAGTGATGAAAAAAGACTGAGAGCATGGCAAGAGCAGAGGAAAAGAAGAGAGAATGAGGAAAAGAGGTTGGCACCTGTGTTTTTGGAACGATTGAAGATCTGGGCTGGAACCGAGGATGCAGGTCAGCTGATCCTATCCATGTTGACAGAGCGCCAGCAGCTGGAGCAGTTTCTAAAGCAGAGGGAGATGGATGCAGAGTGTTTCAGCCTGCTGCTGAAAGCTGCGGCCTGTGCAATCACAGCTCAATATCAGAAGGAATCCGTAAAACAGCTGCTTGAGGTTTTGTGCAAGGCAGAATTTCTGGATCGCCACCTGACCAAGTACACAACAGATAAGCAAAACCACGGCCCGCCCTGGGTGGATGGCTCAGATTTTTTCACATCTGTTCTCAGCATAATGAAACAAATGCTTGACAAGCTTCCTAGATTTGCTTACAAATGTGTTATCATTACAACAAAACTGATAGATTTGGCCAGTAGGGACATCACCGAGAGCTTGAATAAAGACGAGAGGATCTTGAATGAAGATGAGAGGATCTTGAATGAAGATGAGAGGATCTTGAATGAAGATGAGAGGATCTTGAGCTCATTGAAAGAAATGTTGACTATAGCAAAAGAGGTCTACAAGGCCGAAGAAGAAAAAGAAGTTGCCTCCAAAAGAGGCAGGCTGTGGAATGCTGGGAATATGGCTGCCCCACCTGATAACTTTATGGACTTGCCAGTTGTACCAACGGTTTATGACTTAAGAGAGGATGCTCGGCCGTTTGTTCGCCGTGCTGTGACGGAGGGTGTGTATGAAGACATCAACCAATATTTGGACATAGAGTTTCGTCTCATGAGGCAGGATTTTATTCTCCCTCTCAAGAAAGGGATTAATGAATTCATAAAAAGTGGATTGAAAAAAAACTTCAACTGCCAAGACCTGAGGGTCTACTTTAATGTTCACATTGTTGGAACTATTTTTGACGAAGGACTTGATCATCTACTTCAGTTTGAAGTCTTGAAAGGCATAAAATGGGACTCTTCGAAGCGCTTGATGTTTGGTTCACTCTTGTGCCTATCCAAAGATAACTTTGAAACAGTTGTGTTCGCCACTGTTGCTCGCAGAGAAGCTAGCAGTTTGGAAAATGGTTCGATCACGGTCAAATTTAAAAGTGGACTTGACATTGTGTTCAACTCAACGTCAAGAGATACATACATCATGGCAGAAACAACAGCTTTTTTCGAGATGTATAAACCTGTGTTAGAGGGTTTGAAAGAAATGGCAGACAATCTTCCATTACAGGATTACATCATCAAGTGTAAGAAAGAACTGAAGCCGCCAAAGTATTTGCTTCATGGAGGAGTAACTCTGCCCCTGCCAGTTTATGACATTTCTTGTTTGATGAAAGGAACTAGAGGGGTTAGTGTTCCTGTTCTGACAACAACCAAGTGGCCGCCAGCGGAAATGATGTGCCTCAATGAGTCACAAAGAGACGCAGCCATACTGGCACTAACTAAAGAGTTAGCTCTAATTCAAGGACCGCCAGGTACCGGGAAAACATACGTTGGCCTGAAGGTAATGCAGATTTTGCTGACAAACCAACATGTGTTGGGGGGAAATGCTGAAAAAAACTCTGACCCCATTCTCATTGTCTGCTACACAAACCATGCCTTGGATCAGTTCCTGGAGGGAATTTTAGCATTCTGCCAGAATGGAATAGTTCGTGTGGGTGGGAAAAGCAAATCTGAGAAGTTGGCTGCCTTTCATATCAACAAGCTGAAACAAAGTATGAGGGAGTGTATACCCAAGATGAACAGGTCAAGGCAAAATTGTCTGAAAGAACTTGAGTTGGTGTCTAAGGGTATCGAAGGATTGAATACAGAAATGAATTTGTTAGAGGTAGAGATTACCTCAGAGAATTATTTGCAAAACGTTATGAGAAGTGGCCATTATGAATCGTTGAAAAGAATTGACAAGTCAGCTGATGACAAGATTCCAGTGATAAAGCAATGGCTGAACTCTTCAAATATTTCAGTGGTGACCACCTTAAATCAAATGATCAGTGACCACTTATCTAAGCTCATCTTTGATTTGACTTGGGTACCAGGACAACTGAAGGTGAAAAAGAGCATGAATATTGTTGAAAGAGCAAGCTTGTACCAATACTGGTTGTTGCGGTATAGGAAATCTGTGCAGAGACACATTCAGTCTCGTCCTAGGTCAGCAAATCTTGACCAGGCCAGTTTGGAAAACAACTTGAAGATTACACAAACGGAAATCGTGAGTGACAAAAGATTAGTTCAAAACATTTTCCCACATTCATTTCTCAGACATATGGACGAGTTAGCGGACAGTCTTGACTGTAAGGAAATGGTTTCTTATGGTGGGCCGGTGAGGTACTGGCTTTTAGGACTGAATAACAAACTTCACGAGCGACTCAATGAGATACAACTTTTGAGGAGATACCTTGCAGGGGAAAACATCACCGATACATTTGACGATGCAGGGTCATTAAAGAAAGAAGAAGAACATCGCATGATAGGACGAGACGCTTTCTCAAAAAAACAATATGAGTTGCAAATGAATCAAGCAAGAAGTAACATCATCTCCATCATTGACAGAGCAGAAAGTCTAGGGATTACGATTGAGAGTGGGAGCGCAGATTCAGGGGAGTGGAAATCTTCAGAGAAACCACTATCTTTTAAAGATATCCAAATGAGACTGAGATCCATCGATGCAATGACAGCCGAAGAAGAAGAAAATATTGACGATGTCTGGGAAATAGATTTAACTAAAAGATTTGCTCTGTACAAAAGATGGATTACAAAGTACAAGGAGATTCTGACCAAAAAATTAGGAGTGTTAGTAAAGAAGTACACAGCAGCTGAGAATAAAAAAAACGAAATTGCCCGAGAAGAAGATCTGGCGCTATTGAAGAGGGCTAAAGTCATAGGTATGACAACAACGGGTGCGGCCAATCACCGAGGTGTTCTTCAGACCCTAGGGTGCAGGATCATTGTGGTGGAAGAGGCGGCGGAGGTTTTGGAATCTCACATCATCACGGCTTTAAACAAGAACTGCCAGCACCTGATCCTCATCGGAGATCACCAACAGCTGAGACCCAACCCTGCAGTTTATCAGCTGGCCAAAGATTTCGGGCTGGAAATATCGTTGTTTGAAAGACTGGTCAAGAACAAAGTCCCACACGTGGCTCTTAAAGAGCAGCACCGAATGCGACCAGAAATTTCCAAGCTACTGAGACATATCTATCCAGACTTAAAGGACCATTCATCAGTGTTTGAATATAATCATGTGCGTGGTATAGCCAAGGATATTTTCTTCATCGACCACAGGAGCACAGAGTCAAAACTGGATGATAACAGCAGCAAATCAAATGACTTTGAAGCAGAATATGTCGTCGCTCTCTGCAAATATTTGTTATTGCAAGGATACGACCAGTCACAAATAACTATTTTAACCACGTACACTGGCCAGGTGTTTGCAATAAAAAAAATGATGCACAATGCCAGAATGGGCATGTGTGTAACTGTAACATCGGTGGACCATTTTCAAGGAGAAGAGAACGACATCATTCTTTTGTCTCTTGTCAGAAGCAATGAAGAAAATAATGTGGGCTTTATTAAAGTTGACAACAGAGTTTGTGTGGCTCTGTCTAGAGCCAAGTTGGGCTTGTACGTCATAGGCAACTTTGAGCTGATTGCAACACAGAGCAAACTGTGGACTGCAATCGTCAAAACCTGCCAAGACGAGGAGATCATTGGTGAATCTCTAACAGTCGCTTGTCCTAATCACCCAGACACCAAACAGGTCATTTCATCCATTAGCGATTTCAAAAAATGCCCCGAGGGAGGATGTGGACTACCTTGTCGATTTAAATTGAATTGTGGCCATGTCTGTACACTGCAATGCCATGGGTATGACCAGACCCATGAGAAGTTTATTTGCAAGAAAAGCTGTACTAAGACTTGTCCTGAAAAGCATCCATGCAAGAAAAAATGTTCTGAACCATGTGGAGCTTGCCCTGTGCTTGTCCAGAAAGAAATTCCTTACTGTGGTCATCTAGATTCAGTTCCTTGCCACCTTCCACCAAGTGATGCCAAGTGTTCAAAGACTTGTCTTGTTGAACTGAAATGTGGGCATCGGTGCTCCGGTAGATGTGGCCTATGCAAAGAGACTGGGAAACACAAAATCTGTTCCGAAAAGATTGAAAAAGCCTTGCCATGTGGACACAATTCTACTGTAGAATGTTCTAAAGATCCATCCCAGATTTCCTGTAAAGTTAACTGTGGCTCTGTTCTAATCTGCGGACATACATGTAAAGGGACTTGCTCAGATTGTTTAGAAGGAGCTATTCATGTTGCCTGTCATGAAAAGTGCAAAAGGCTTCTGCCATGTGGACACGAATGCTCATATTTCTGTGGGGTGCCTTGCCTGCCGTGTTCAGAGTCATGCGTTGGTGAATGTAGACATGCGCACTGCGGTGGGGAGAAGAAACATCCTCACTTGTGCAGCCTTCCCTGTCCGCCCTGCAAGAAAAAATGTAGCTACAAATGTTCTCATAGGAAGTGTTCCAAGTTCTGTGGGGAATTTTGTGACTTTGAAATTTGCAACAAGAAATGTTTGAGAAAAATTAATAAGAAAAATAACCCGCAGGACAAAGAGAGTAAAACATGTGGCCATGTTTGCTCTGGTGTTTGTGGTGAACTTTGCGTGTGCGCTACTTGTGAAAAGATCTGTCAGATAAGACAGAAAAATGGAGAAGCTAAAACTTTAACAGACAATGGATGTGTTATGGAAAATTTAGGAAATGAAAAGGAAACTCATCGACCAGTATTGAAGATTCCCTCATGCTCACACATATTTTACATAGATGAGCTGGATGAATATGTAAGAAATTTTGATCCCAACGGAACGCAGTACATTTTGTGCCCAGAGTGTTCAAAACCAATCATGAAGTGCATGCGGTATGAAAAAATGAACAAGAAAAGATCTGAAATGAGGGATAAAGAAAAAGCGAGGCTCCTAGCCAGAAGTGAGTGTTCACATATTGATCAAGCTAAACTATCAGCTTCAGGGGCAAAAATCAGACAATATTCTTTCCTTCAAGATTTCCATGATGTAAAAGTGACAGGTATATCCAAGAGAGTAGAAGTCCAGGCAGTATCTTTTAAACTGAAATGTGCTTTTGTGCTCAATGAGCTGCATTCCTTGGATAATGGCAGTGCACTTGAACTCGAGAAGATCAAAAATGCCCTCCTCAAAATTCATACGAATGTCTCGCAACAACAGAAATGTGACTATAAAATGGAATTGCTGCGACTGCTCATGTGGACCTGTCTTGAGGAACTGCATCTGCACGAAGAACTACCGAAACAGTTTCACAAAGTCACTAATGATTTAAGTCACCCCCGGACAGACTTAAGTATGATGGAAGAAGCTCATCGTCTCATTATATCTCCTGAAGAAAGTATAAATGGGTACCCGTATTCATATACAGGTTCCTCTCTCATAGAGGACATGTACAAGCCCTGCTTGAGGATTATTTTCTCCAGCGATGATGAGGTTTGTTGTTTTGAAGCGTAATCACAGTGCTATCTAATATGAACTTTGACCTCACATTTTATTTTTAATTAAAATCTTCACAACTACATTATAACCTTGAGCCCACATTTAATTTTCAATTCAAATCTTCAGAACATTATAACCTTTGACCCCACATTTTATTTTTACTTCAAATCTTCACAACAACATTATATCCTTTGACCCTAGATTTATTTTTAATTAAAATCTTAAAAACAACATTATAACCTTTGACCCCACATTTTATTTTTAATTAAAATCTTCACATTATAACCTTTGACCCCACATTTTATTTCATTATAACCTTTGACCCCACATTTTATTTTTAATTAAAATCTTCACAACAATATTTGACCCTACATTTTATTTTTAATTAAAATCTTAAAAATAACATTATAACCTTTGACCCCACATTTTATTTTTAATTAAAATCTTCACAACAACATTATAACTTTTGATCCCACATTTTATTTTGTATTAAAATCTTCACAACAACATTATAACCTTTGACCCCACTTTTAATTTTTGATTAAAAATCTTCACAACCATATTATAACCTTTGACCCCACATTTTTGCGAACTTTTTAAAGTAATACAGAAAACTTTGTAATTATTTGATTATTTTTTTTCTGTATGTCCGCCCTCGGACTGCTGCGCCCTAGGCCATGTCCTAGGTTGACCCTATTGGAAATCCAGCCCTGACATAAAAAATTAACTTATTCTATCTAAAAAAGCAACAAAATTAATTATGTAAAATCTTGTCTGATTTCAGATGCTTTGTGATATATTCATTAATGACTCCCATAATACTGAGGGAATAGAGGAGCTCAATTTTCTTCATTTGATGCAAGATTTTCTAACCATGGACAAGAAAGATATTAGTAACTCACATTGTTATCAGTTAACAGAAATCTCTAGACCTTGTGAAGAATCTTTGGTGGAGCTTTCTGGCAACACCCCCAAATCAGCCACAACCAAAACTACTGGCCCATCTTTAGGATACTTGTCCAACTGCTACCCAAATAAAACTGCCCGTCCATGTTCAGGACATGACAGCAAACCAGGCAATAATAAAACTGCCCATCCATCTTTAGGGCATGACAGCAAACCAGGCCAAAATAAAACTGCCCGCCCACCTTCAGGACATGACAGCAAACCAGGCCAAAATAAAACTGCCCGCCCACCTTCAGGACATGACAGCAAACCAGGCCAAAATAAAACTGCCCGCCCACCTTCAGGACATGACAGCAAACCAGGCCAAAATAAAACTGCCCGCCCACCTTCAGGACATGACAGCAAACCAGGCCAAAATAAAACTGCCCGCCCACCTTCAGGACATGACAGCAAACCAGGCCAAAATAAAACTGCCCGCCCACCTTCAGGACATGACAGCAAACCAGGCCAAAATAAAACTGCCCGCCCACCTTCAGGACATGACAGCAAACCAGGCCAAAATAAAACTGCCCGCCCACCTTCAGGACATGACAGCAAACCAGGCCAAAATAAAACTGCCCGCCCACCTTCAGGACATGACAGCAAACCAGGCCAAAATAAAACTGCCCGCCCACCTTCAGGACATGACAGCAAACCAGGCCAAAATAAAACTGCCCGCCCACCTTCAGGACATGACAGCAAACCAGGCCAAAATAAAACTGCCCGCCCACCTTCAGGACATGACAGCAAACCAGGCCAAAATAAAACTGCCCGCCCACCTTCAGGACATGACAGCAAACCAGGCAAAAATAAAACTGCCCGCCCACCTTCAGGACATGACAGCAAACCAGGCCAAAATAAAACTGCCCATCCACCTTCAGGACATGACAGCAAACCAGGCCAAAATAAAACTGCTCATCCATCTTCAGGACATGACAGCAAACCAGGCCAAAATAAAACTGCCCGCTCACCTTCAGGACATGACAGGAAATCAGGCCAAAATAAAACGGCCTGTCCTAGTTCAGGACATGACAGCAAATCAGGCCAAAATAAAACTGCTCATCCATCTTCAGGACATGACAGCAAACCAGGCCAAAATAAAACTGCCCGCTCACCTTCAGGACATGACAGGAAATCAGGCCAAAATAAAACGGCCTGTCCTAGTTCAGGACATGACAGGAAACCAGGCCAAAATAAAACTGCCCGCTCACCTTCAGAACATGACAGCAAACAAACACCAAATGAAACTGAAAGTGCACCTTCAGGACACAGTGCCAAATAAAATAAACCATTTGTCTTCGAAGAACAACTTCAAGCAATGGCCAACTTAATTTTAACATCACTCTGTAGCACATCTCCTAAATCAACTCTATTGCATCCTGCCAGCAATCTTCTGAAACTTTGCCTTGTTCAGTCTGACCTCAAAACTGATTATCCACAGATGGATTTACAAATTATAAGATGATACTTTTTTTTAATACTCTACTTCATATGTGTTTTAATATTAAAAATCAAAACTTTTAAAAGGTTATTTTATTAAAATGTTTTAACATCAAGTATTCCGCACAAAGCTTTAATCAAAATTTATAATTTGTATAATTGTATTTTTTTCTTTGATGAATGTAAAATTTTTATTATTTAGTTTAATTCTTTTTGTTTATTTCTCTATTTAATGTGATTCAAATTGAACTACACATCTACTTCATCATCACTAATTTCAATGTTTTTTTTACTTTAAATGAAAATTGCATTATCAAATGTTGCATTAAAAAATTATCCACTTATTTCTGAATTCATACGGTTAAAGCTTAAGTTATAAGTCCTATTATTTTGAATTTGGTTTGTGGTATAAAAATATCAATTTTTAAAATCTTGGGCTAAGTTTTGCTAATGCTAATCTCTATTAATATTTATCTTCTCTTTTTAATTTTCTTTTTTCTTAAATGCCTTTCAATAATTAAGAAAAAAATTGTATAACCCATATAAAATATAGCCTACAATTGTTTTAGGCATATTGATCAATATTAATATCAATATAGTTAATTTATAAGAGCGCAATTTTTCAATATATTCTTGTTACTCTTTGCACATTATATTTAATTTAATAGAAGAAGAATTGTTTTTAATTTTTACAAAAAAAAAATAAATCAAGTTTTATTTGTAAAATGTATCAATCAGTTATCAAAAATATTTCCTTCACAAAGTTTATTATATATTTTAAAAGGTTATATCATATAATGCTAGGCCCTGTATTATAAGTGAATCATATGATGCTAGGCTCTGTATTATAACTGTATCATATGATGCTAGGCCCTGCATTATAACTGAATCATATGATGCTAGGCCCTGGTTTATAAGTGAATCATATGATGCTAGGCCCTGTATTATAACTGAATCATATGATGCTGGGCCCCGTATTATAACTGAATCATATTATGAAATCGAACAAGGTACGTTGAAGCTTGAATCAAAAGACAGGAAAATGAGGTGTGAATGTTTCGGCTTAGAGCCTTCTTCAGCAAACAGGACAAATGAAAATACAACAAGAAACAGAGCACAGTAAAAAAAAACTTTTCGATTTAAGCTTCAACATACCTCGTTCTTCTATTTCATTCACACAGCTGAATGCAGTCCTTCATTTATTAATCATATGATGATGCTAGACGGACGCTTTAAATTTAAGGTCTTAACATGAGGCATGAAGCATAGGTCAATAATTTTCAAAGGTTCAAAATATAATGCATTTAATTTTTTTATTAAAGTTATGACAGAGGAGAGATTTTCTATTTGAATTTTTGGGGGTTGTTACTTGGCCTAAGTGGAAGGGGGCAATGTGTCATTGCTTTGTGTGATTTTTATTCTGTCATTTAAAGAAAATAGAAAAAAAAAGACTCATTTTTTAATTTCTCTAATTATTCTAAAATAATTAGTCATTATTCAAATGTCCATTTTCATCTATTGTTCAACAAAATACGTACTCTTTATTTATAATTTTTTTTTTTTTTAAAGTTAAATAAATGTTTCATTCTTTGTTTTAAACATTATATTTATATTTTTTAATTCAGACTTGAAACATTCCTTGAAAAAGATAGTTTCATATCTATTTTAAATATTATTTGAAGACCTCTTAAAATTATATTATTATGTATGTAGTGAAATTTAAATAAATCAGGACGTTGAAAGCTCAGTAAAGATTTTAAAAAAATAATCTCAAACAGTTCAATCCAGAAGCTTATGAAATATTTTATCCGCTTTAGAGTTTTTTCATTTCCTTGGTCAAGTACTTTTCAGGACCTTTTCTCAGGTGCATACAGCGTTCTCCACTATGCTATTTGACAAATGTATTTCCATATTTTTCATTAATGATACAACGAACAAAGAAAGTTGCCAATGTTTTTGCTTTTTTGAATTTAAAAATGTATTGACAATACATGTGTTATTATTTATTGTTGTATTAATATTAACTAAAAAAAATACTCGATATGTCTTTATGAAAGTATATTTACCATACACAAAATTTAATACTCTGTTCAGCCAGTATTTTACACATTCCACGTGACATATTTTATCACGCCATAATGATTTAACGACCACCCCAACTCGGTAAAGGTGTGTTCGTATGTTATTTTTTCTATTTAAGTTTACTAAGATATTAACTATTTTAAAAATTATTATTTAAACAGAACATCTCAAAGATTCAAACTCTTTATTGTTAAGATCCTAGATGAACATGTTTTTAGATGATTGTACAGTTCTCTTTTGACCAAGGAGGATCGAACTCATTATAGTTTACATATGCCCTCTTGCACAGCTGTAAAACCAGACAATAGATACATGTGTATTTTAATGAGGACATTTGCACTATGCAGAGTTTTCTGAACATTGCTGTGCAATTTTTTAGACTGATGAGAATGCTTTAGCCATGGTTTAAAAAAAAAAAGAAAAAAGTATGTCACATTTTCTGAGGTAACTCTCCTGATTTAAAAATAAAGTTGTCCATCTTTTGGTTTTATTCGAATGATTTGGTTACTGGTACACCTATTTTAAATTAATTTTTTCAATAAAAAAACAAACATTTTATGTCTTTATTTCATTTGAATTTTAAAACCTGTTGTGAAAAATGTATCTCAAAATTTAAAAAATTAATGGTTCAAATCGCATTTACTGTCATTGTGTTTACATTATTCTACTTTGTAATCTCATCACCTTGTCCAATTTCTCATCACCTGTCCGATTTCTCACCACCAGGTACAATTTCATATCACCTGGTCCAATTTCTCATCACCAGGTCCAATTTCTCATCACATGGTCCAATTTCTCATCACCAGGTCCAATTCTCATCACCAGGTCCAATTTCTCATCACCTGGTCCAATTTCTCATCACCAGGTCCGATTTCTCATCATCTGGTCCAATTTTTCATCACCAGGTCCAATTTCTCATCACCTTGTCCAATTTCTCATCGCCTGGCAACACCTGGTCCAATTTCTCATCACCAGGTCCAATTTCTCATAACCTGGTCCAATTTCTCATCACCAGGTCCAATTCTCATCACCAGATCCAATTTCTCATTACCAGGTCCAATTTCTCATTACCAGGTCCAATTTCTCATCACCTGGTCCAATTTCTCATCACCAGGTCCAATTTCTCATCACCTGGTCCAATTTCTCATCACCAGGTCCAATTCTCATCACCAGGTCCAATTTCTCATTACCAGGTCCAATTTCTCATCACCAGGTCCAATTTCTCATCACCTGGTCCAATTTCTACTCACCAGGTCCAATTCTCATCACCTGGTCCAATTTCTCATCCCCTGGTCCAATTTCTCATCACCTTGTCCAATTTCTCATCACCTGGTCCAATTTCTCATCACCAGGTCCAATTTCTCATCACCAGGTCCAATTTCTTATCACCAGGTCGAATTTCTCATCACCAGGTCCAATTTCTCATCACCTGGTCCGATTTCTCATCGCCTTTCAACACCTGGTCCAATTTCTCATCACCAGGTCCAAATTCTCATCACCAGGTCCAATTTCTCATCACCTGGTCCAATTTCTCATCACTTGGTCCAATTTCTCATCACCTGGTCCAATTTCTCATCACCAGGTCTAATTTCTCATCACCAGGTCCAATTTCTTATCATCAGGTCCAATTTTTACTCACCAGGTCCAATTTCTCATCACCTGGTCCAATTTCTCATCACCAGGTCCAATTTCTCATCACCTAGTCCTATTTCTCATCGCCTGGCAACACCTGGTCCAACTTCTCATCACCAGGTCCAATTTCTCATCACCTGGTCCAATTTCTCATCACCTGGTCCAATTTCTCATCACCTGGTCTAATTTCTCATCACCAGGTCCAATTTCTTATCATCAGGTCCAATTTCTCCTCACCAGGTCCAATTTCTCATCACCTGGTCCAATTTCTCATCACCAGGTCCAATTTCTCATCACCTAGTCCTATTTCTCATCGCCTGGCAACACCTGGTCCAATTTCTCATCACCAGGTCCAATTTCTCATCACCTGGTCTAATTTCTCATCACCTGGCAACACCTGGTCCAATTTCTCATCACCAGGTCCAATTTCTCATCACCTGGTCCAATTTCTACTCACCAGGTCCAATTCTCATCACCTGGTCCAATTTCTCATAACCTGGTCCAATTTCTACTCACCAGGTCCAATTCTCATCACCTGGTCCAATTTCTCATCACCTGGTCCAATTTCTCATCACCAGGTCCAATTTTTCATCACCAGGTCCAATTTTTCATCACCAGGTCCAATTTCTCATTACCAGGTCCAATTTCTCATCACCAGGTCCAATTTCTCATCACCAGGTCCAATTTCTCATCACCAGGTCCAATTCTCATCACCTGGTCCAATTCTCATCACCTGGTCCAATTTCTCATCACCTGGTCCAATTTCTCATCACCTGGTTTAATTTCTCATCACCTGGTCCAATTTCTCATCACCTGGTCCAATTTCTCATCACCAGGTCCAATTTCTCATCACCTGGTCCAATTTCTCATCACCTGGTCCAATTTCTCATCACCTGCTCCAATTTCTCATCACCTGCTCCAATTTCAGTTTTCTAACAGATAATTGCTGCTCCCATCTACAAAAATTAGTTATTGGCAAAAATGTACAAACAATTAATTTAATTGTGTCTCTGTTTACTGTCTAACATTAACAAACGTGAACGTGTCGTTATGAAGAGAAATTTACTACATCATATATCCAGTTGTCTCTTACTGTCTCGATTGATTGTGACGTACAACAGTGGCCAAAATGTTTGCTGCCACCTCCTAAGAAAAACTCTGCGGTTGACCGAAAATCCCGCCTGTGTATACACTACTCACACACCCATACACTACTCACACACCCACATATATTTTACCCTGTACATATTTATTTTCAGCACATAAATAAAATAAATACTTAAACCAACACAACATTTTACAATTATAAT